AGAGGGCGGCAGTCAAAAGGAAGAGAACGCACCCACGGGAGGAAGAGCACGGCGGAGATGGAGCCGTGAGATCGGCTTGTGTGCGTGAGCTAGACCAGGGGTCAGTAAACCCGGTGGCTCCGGAGGAGCACGAGGCTCTTTACAGGCTGCTTCGTGACGTAACGTACACGTATGCGTTCCGACGCGTTGAGGCCCTTGAGATATCGAGTTTTGTACCGAATTCTAAAGGAAAAAAATGGCTCTTCTTGTTATGTTGGTTGCCGACCCAAACGAGCCAGACAAACCGTTGGCATCGAGAAACGGCAAGAGATGGCGACAGCTTTGGGAGCGCTTCACTCCAGCAGTGGATAGTGACTCGTGATGATGATGAATACGTACACGGTTGGCAATCAGGCCCTGGGTTAAGGGTTGGAAAATATTTGGTTTTGAGGCGGGTGGAGGAGTAAATAGCACCCACAACTGTGGACAAAAGGAGCCACATTTCACTCGATTTGCCAAAATGGATTACAATAAAAACACCAAAGTTCGTGAAAAGTATATTTTTTCTCAACCACATTTGACAACAGATTTTTATAAAGTGCAAAAAAAATCGCCCATTCTTCAAGCCCCTCGCCGGGACTTTATCACCACAATAGGGAGGTGATTTGCCTCGGCATTATGGCGTTTGCAGCTTGCTGTGGGGCGCTTAGAGCTTGTATCCGGCAGGCAGCCCTGATTATTGTTGTGGGTGTATTAACCAACAATGGATGTTTGAGATCCCCCGATGATGTCATTCAAAAATGGGGTCGGCCTTCGTGCCCCCCCCCCCCCCCCTCCGGCGTCATAATCCAAATTTGCGAAGTTCAAAAAGTACTGCACACATAGAGGGACATCGCTCCCACCTGTGAAACTTCCTGCAGTTTCACAGGTGGGTCTCCATAGTACCTTCGTGATAGCTTTGGGGCTATAAGAATGGCGCAAACAGTAAAGTATTACATTATTATTCAGTTTATAGCCTAAATACCAACAATACGGGGGTTGCCGTACATCATAACGAGCAACTTACGAAGGAATCAGCCCAGCATTTCAGCATAAATATACGTATGTATGTTAAACTTCTTTCGCACCGTACGTTGCCAAACCATGCTAATCGAAAGATAAAATACCCTTTCCCAGCCACAAGTTTTTTTTATAAGGTAAGGTCACCGATGTAGCTGCAAATTATTGTAAGTGCGATGCTGACTGCAGGAAACTATGAAAGTGGACTTGTGGCGTCCACAAGCGAGACGTTCAGCCACGTGCCATCAAAAACCCCCACAACCCCTTTCTTGGTGGTGCAGTCTTACACCAATGATGCGGTGAGAGTCAGGGGCTTGGTCTCCATAACATAAAAACACAAAATTATCTTTTTGTCATTGTGCCGTACAGCTCTCCGATGCGTTTTCAGGTCTTGCCGCGTGTTGCTCGTATGTACGTTGAACGTCTTTCGCACCGGACGTAGCCAACCGTGCTAAATCGGAGGTGCAGGGGAAGGACAACAAACTAAACACAAAAAAGTAACTCTAAATAAATGAGTTTTCAATGTGTATCTAAAAGTGCACAACTCCAGTGGCTTCCCGATATCGGAAGGAAGAGCGTTCCAGACGGCCGCAGAACCGCGTCTCAAAGAACATGACGATGCGGTGACCACCGTCTTTGTTCGATGGCCGGCCAAAAGCCGCCGCTACAAGGATGACCGGAGCTCGCGTGATGGTTCGACAAGTTTGCTCCACATGCTGGGAATTTCTTCAGGAAGTATTCAGAAACGATTCGGGTTTTGAAGCTCCCGGCACTCGGAGAAAAACGTTGGACATCATCCCATTCAACACGCAGTGCAACCCGAAAACGCACTTGATTAGCTGTACAGCACAACTGCGAAAAAGCCTACATAGATGTATTAAAATGATTTGCTGACTGTGCGCCGCAGAAGCGTAATGATTCATCCCACGTACCCCCATCTCCCCCCCCACCCCAACGATTCTATGAATTATAGAAATTCAGGGTCGCGATCCGATTCCACAATAAATTATATTTTTTTACAGTGAAAGGCAGCGGTCTACAGTGGCTGTCGACAATCATGAGAGCCAATTATGCACAGCCTGTTACGTGCGCGCGCGCGTAACGATGCACGCACCACACCTCCGATCAGCACGGTTGGCTACATACGGTGCGAATAAAGTTTAACGTACATACACACGTGCGTACATGGCGGTCTTAACATTAGATAGCAGTCGAATGATATCAGTCGAATGTTAAGTCGCATGCCACTCGTCCACGCGCGTTTGCGCATTCGCTCAGCCAACAACACCCACCAAACTAAAAAGTGTGCGCCGCCCTCACCCTTGTATGCGCGAGTGTTGTGCTTACTAATGAACCTACAATTATTATTCAAAAAAAATGTTTTTGGATCTTTTCAACAACAAAAAAAATACCTTAGTGCTTGTGCAAAAATAAATGAAAACACAGGAATCGTTTTAATCGAATTGCGATCCTGAATTGTGGCAATTCGTCGAATTGCGAGGTGGGGGAGGCGGGAAGGGGGTGAATCGTTCCAGACACTTGATACACGCACTGCATGTCCGTTTACAGGCGTGTTTCAGGATATGCTCGTGTGCATGCATTCCGAATATGTACACACGCGGGTGACACGGACAAAATGCACGCGCGCGACTTGGGGGACGGGCAATCATTTCAGCAGCGCCAAAGCATTTAATTTCTCCCGACTGCAACACCTTCCGTCGAAGTGCGGTAATTCACGAGCCCGCATTTTAACATTCTGGCACGGTGCGAGCACGCGAGCTGCAAAAGAAACGCGACAGCATGTCGTGCAGAGTGGCGGCTTCCTCGGCGTTCGCAGCAACATACGTGTGCATGTTGAAATTTCTTTAGAACCGTACGTAGCCAACCGTGCTGATAATCGGAGGTGCAGGGGAAGGATAAAAAAACTAAACACAAAAAGAAAACTCAACGGCAAGTGGCCCGCATTCAAAATATTACGCCGGCCACAAAAAGTGTGAACGACACTCGCACGCAAATTACCGTGGGAATAATGGAAGAGGCACCGTAAAACTCTACCGTCGTATCTCGTAAGGTCAATAACAAACTTGTTTGTGTGTGTGTAGCTGCGCTCGGAGGAAGCAACAGCCACCGATACAACGAACCCAACCACGCGCTTCCATCGCCAGTTTACGCTTCTGAACTTTTTAGCGAGTCTCAATACGGTAATGCAAGTGGGAGCCGGAGCCAGTCCCAACTTCTCCCACCTTCCATCCTAAAAGGGAGAAAACTTTTCTTCGTATTATTTATTATTTATTAATTCTATACAAAGTTTGTTACGCGAATCCACCACGCACGTTCTGCAAGCGAGAAAACGTAAGTGTGGGCTCGGAGCATGACGAGAAATCGCTCACGGGGATCGTATTCGGAATCACTCGAGGGTTCGATCATGCACAGTCTTAAGCACTTAAAATATATAATCACGTATCCGAGCGGAAATGTACGGGTGAACGCAAAGGCAGCACGCGGTGTCACAACATCACGGCCAGAGCTCACACACGAGACTCCCACAACACTTGCGGTGCCAATCCAGGCACGGCAAGGTCTTTTTTTAGGCTCGCGCAGAGGTACAAAGACAGGCAATAGCACCTCTGGCCATGCTCGTATCCCAACGCATCTGAGCCGCTGACCTCCAACAAATGTGCCATGTTCCATGAAAATCTCTGCTTGGGCAAATTTAATTACTGTGCTGTGGCCTGCCTCGAAGCCGCAATAAAAACTGTGAACCGCAGCTTTGACATCGCTGCTCGGAGCGTCTTTATTAATTTACATTTTCAGCCCCTTTTCCCACCCACTGCTGGGTGAAGGCCTCCCGACGCCGCATCAGTCTCGGCGATTGCAAACCGCACTTCACGTTGGTCAGTGGGGGCTGGTGAAGTTAAGTAGGTGTCCAGGACCGGTTCGGATGTCGCTCGCCACACATGTTTGCAATGGTTGGGAATCGAACTCGGGTCGTCATCACCAGTGATGACTATCTGAACCGATCCTGGGCCTCCCCTCGGTCGACTCAGCCTCAAATGAGTACCTGGTGCGATGTTTAAACATCGTCACTTGCGAGACAAAGGCGGCCGGGCGTGGTGCTGGCCACCCACACTCCCTCGTGTGCCGTGCTGGCCTTCAAAGGTGCACTTGCCCCAAAGGTATGTTAAGGCTATCCAAGGGGTCTTTGTCTTCTTTGTATATTTATGTTAAGTTCAACCGCTGAATTAATTCGCGTGTCGGCAGTCTGAAGATGCGTATAATTGTGGTAGCTATCAGCCATGCCAAAGCGTCACAATCCAATCAGGCGTGCTTTTGTGTGAAGCGAACACAAATATGCGAGCAATGTCATATCTTTGGCAAAGCAGCACCAAAGCCATCTGCGGTTTCACAAGTGGCCTCTCTCTGCCGTGGTGATTCACAATGGAGTTAAAATGCAAAAAATTTACCCGAACCCAGGGACCCTTCAAGCCAATTGCAATGTGTGTTGTACGTGCCCAGGTGTGTCGAGCACTACCCTGAAGGTGCAGGGGACACTGCCATGGCCTTCTCGCCCAGTGCGCTGGACCCGCAGTCCAGAAGTCGCCGATTCGATCTCCTTACTGCTGAAGATGAAGGGATGCTGCAAGTTTGATGAGCCCACGGGCTCTGCCTCGATCCGCACGGCAATGTAAATCAACTATCAACTATTTTTATTTTGCCAGTTAAGGCCCACCGAGCTATGGGGAAGGCCACAAGTTCATCTGATTGTTCGGGAGGTCGCGTAGCGGAGGGCTCCAGTGTGGGTACTCCAAGAAATCTGGCCAGTGTGGAAGAGTAGGCCAATATCCCCTCTCGTGGTGCTAAATTATTTTAAATTAGCACTATTAGATGTTTTTGTATAATAATTCAATTGTACGTATGTGTGACATAATAACTATGCCCTTTTAAATTCAAGAAAGTCTCACCGGGTCCCCTCGTTTTCAGAGCAGTCCTCGTGCATTGGGATGTTCGCCAATTCCAAATTGCATACCAGTCGACGTACAGTGCATTTGGGGGCGCTGGAAAGAGAAGCAAGATGTGACGGCGTCTAAAATGGCAATTAAAGCGGCATCGCACTTGGCCAGTTGCTTCCCAAAGACACCAGGCACAAACACCCTAAAAGGTCACGCCAGAAAAACTCGCAAGTAATTTTTTTTGCCAGATATCACTCGTAACACAGGATAAGACGGGCCGTCTCGATTGCACGAGAACTGACCTGGGACTAGTCTGCTGGCCTAGTTACTGGTCCAGGAACAACCCACAAAACGGGGGTTCCGTACACCCATTCTATAAAAGCCACGTGGTAGGTTAATCCACTCCTGCTATACTCACCTCCCTCAAACCCTCCACCTCGTGCAACGAGGCGAACAAAAAAAGCAGGGAGCAGCCAAAGCAGGAACACGCACGTTAAAATTACCGCCGTTGGAGATGGAGCGGTGAAATCAGTTGGTATGTTCAGGGGCTGCGTGGATTTTTGCATCGGCGAGACTGTGAGACTAATTTAAAATTAAGCTAAACTTTTTTTATTTTAACCAGGTAAGGTCCACTGAGCTACGTAGTTTTTTTTATTAATGACCTGGCCACAAGTGATAGCTCAACAAAGTGGCTAATCAAATGGAAATGTATAGCAGCCAAATACTCTAAACGTGTGTTTATAAATGTGGAGGGAAAAAACCGTAGGACCCAGAGAAAAATCCACACGACCACGGGGAGAAAGAGACATGCAAACTCCAAATATACAGCAGGTGTCAGGGTCGGGATTGAACTCACCACCTCCTGCATACCAGGCAAGGGAGTTAACATCTCGCCACTGCGTCACGATGTGAACTCGAACCCACGACCTCAGAGAATTGGAGCCGATGGTGAGATGATGGTGATGACACAAGTTCGGCTCCACCTTCCTGTTCTCCTCTATCAACCACAGGATTCGGTGAATAATTCCTGCTCCATCCCCTTCCTCCCACGCCCAATGCCCAACCGAGCGCTGCCCTCCATTGGCATTGGGCTGGAAAAAAAAAAATCTTGGTTCTGATTAAGTCGGCCACAGGGCTCGGCGTGCGCCACGGGTCGAGACACTAGCCCAGGGGCTCTGGTGTAATGGGATTGTCTCGGCGGGGCCGGGTTGATGTGGGAACGCAAGGTGCTCTGGTGTGAACGCCGATGCAGTACCTGGCCAACTAAGTTCCCAATCATCATCAGCCATGATCATTCCATTTGGGGCGCCATGGTGGATTTGAAATGTTATCTACCTCGCCTGGTATACAGGAGGTCGTGGGTTCAATCACGACCCTGACACCTGCTGTATATTTGGAGTTTGCATGTCTCTCTCTCCCCGTGGTCGTGTGGATTTTTCTCTGGGTGTCGCCTGATGAAGCGAGTTGTAATTACTGGCGAAACGTCGTACTCAGATTGTAAATGTTGTGGCTTTGCTCTCCAACACACCGGTGTGCTGTCCTCGTGACGAATTGGCATGTTCTGTTTCCGTGACAACTCTTACTAGTTGGCTGTGTCGGGTGGTGGCGGGTCTTAACGACACATTTATATATTTACGCGATCTAACCCAAAAAACCCTCTATTATGGATTATATTGGTCTCGAAAGCCTCCGTGTTAAAGTAAACCCCTCTGACGGCATTCCCTCCTTTGGCTGCCACTCCGTTGCTCGTTCTGACAACCGGCTATCATCCCTTCTTCTAGAAACGTGTCCTGCTCAAGCGCCACTTACAGTCAATGGAATGCTCTCTGTCTGGGGCATGTTCAATAATCCACGTGTTCCTCCGCCGTCTGTCTACCAGAGTAATTGTAAGGATGCATCTCTCTCTCTCCATGCTCCTTTGCACGTTTTTCAGCTTTTCTTCCATTTTATTCATCAATGTCCATGTTTTTTTATTAATCTGTCATCACATGTAGAACACGCCGATGGTAAAATGCATTCTTCAGACAACCGGTGTGTTGTTTGTCATTACCATGTTCTGGTTTATGAAAGCGCTCCAAACCATCGTCATCCACATCTTTATTTCATTATTTTGGCTGTCCTAGGAATATATATATTTAATGTCCATTCAACAGACATTTCTAAATATTTAGCGAAATTGTTGTACAAGACTACACAAACATAACATGTACGTGTGCGAGACTTTTAGGGAAAAAAATCCATTGCTTCCGAACCGGCAGATATTTATTAAATGAGATGCAGGGGTGGTGTGCTAAAATATAATGCAAAAGCATATAGCACATGAATATATCAAACATTTATTTTTATCTGATTCTCCGAGCCAATCATTATCCGCGTGCTTGTATAGCTCAGTAAATTACCAACACTATTTAAACAATAATCCTTCGTGCATACCCAACATTCAGTCATGCAAGTAGGCATTTCGGGAAGGGGGGGGGGCGAAACGGTGTTTGCAATTGATCCCATTGAACATGCGACCTTGGGAAGCCGCCATCCATTCGTTGCCCAAGTGAACCTCGTGAACAATCGTTTTGTCAACTGGTCCCGTTTAAAACGACCGTTGACAACTGTTGCCAGTCTTGCGCCGCGTGACACAAGTCAATCCCTGAAACCCACATCGGCGGGAGAGCACACCTCCCCACTTACGAGTGCCTGACAACGAGACTCCCGGTGCGTCTCGAGTGGGACTTCCACACAATGGGGCTGTGTCTAGCCGTGGGGCTAATGTAACATTTGAACCAGGCGTGTGAATTCCTAGCTCTTACCGCTACCGTGCAGGTTCATAGCAGGCCTCACAACCAGGTCTCCTGGGATGCGCCCAATCTCGTCAGATCTCGGAAGTTAAGAGGGGTAAGAACCTGGATAGTGCTCGGGATGGGTGGGAACCTGTGAACAAATAGCTTGTCACAGGGCTTCGTGGCTACTTGGTGAGCCAGTGCGGGAATAGTCCGTTGTTCTACTGTACTTCTGTACTCCCCTCATTCAGCAACCCGTGCTGACCAGCGTGAAGTATGGTCAAATAACCTCTACTACCCACAGGTGTGGGAGGAGGCCCTGATCAAGAAGTGGATTGACTCATGGGGCTGTACACAGTCTGGCCAAGTGCAAGTCAATATATGCATTCTCACATTTTTTGTGTCGATAACTCACAAGTATGCATCAGTGCACCTAGGGCTTGCCGCAATATCTTTCTCTACAAAATGATACGATGATTAAGTTTCACGACATGACGATGATCGCCACGTCAGTTTCCAATTGCTCTTTAACTATGTTTTTTGTGGTATTGTTTTCGCACTTTCACGTATTTTTCCAGCGCAAAAAGACATCTTGAGTTATTTGATTTATTTAACTTGCAATTCACCCAACATAAGCCTGCCCATAGGCCTTCTCACATTTGCACCTTTAAACACCTATATAACCCTTATAATGCACACAACTGTCAAACACATAAGTAATTAATCGGCCTCAAAAAAATTAGAACGTCATATTATGGCTGTGCGTCAGTTACTCGGGGAATATATTTTCTGCACAGCACTAATTGAATGGGTAACTGCTATTTATTATGACCTTAGAATCGTGTGGTATTGGGACCTTTAATTACGTTTTATTAGAAAAACACTGTCAGAAAATGAAATGAAAAAAATAACCAAGAAGCAATGATAACAGAAATAATTATCAAAACGGTCAATGTGATTTTGCAGCTCTAATATTTGTACGGTACATTGGAGTGGTGCCACATCTCGGCAGCCCACTGGGGTGCGTGCACACACACACACACACGCGCGAATTCTGCGGTCTGCTTGCGAGGCCACAAAGATCCTTTTGTGCTGACGAGCCTGCACGCGATTTTTTTTTTCCCTTGCACACTAAACAGAAAAAAGGGGACCCGTGTGTGTAAACCTGAAGACTCGCTGCTATGCGGAAAGGTGCAGATTGCGTCCGAAGCCTCACTGCCAGAACGAACGCCGGGTGACGCGCTCATCCCACAGCGCGTCAGGCGACCGCTTCGCACATCCGCCATGCGCGCTTCTACTGCCGCTCTTATCAGACGTATTGGGCACAAAAAAAATAATGTGAAAGTAATTTACAGCCACTGTTAATCCACTGCCGGATGAAGGCTTCACACCATGGGTTGATTGTGGTTTTTTTTGCATTAAAAAATTACGGTAAATTTTTTTACCATTATTTTTTTTTACATACTTTGCCACACTGGTGAAGGTGGCAGGCCCAGGACTGATTCAGATATCACTCGCCACGGATGTTTAGCCCTGGTTAGAAATCGAAGTCGGTACTGTAAAAGTGGTTTATATTATATAATTCCAGTTTTTTTGGTAACCATAATGACAGTGGGCAGTTGTTTAAGACTAGCAGTGTAATGATGCATCGATACATCGATGAGGATTGATCGTTAAGCATGCGATACATGCATTAAATGACGTGTGAAGGAAGAGATGTTTGTAGATTGCTAAATTACGTGTCATGTCCGATAAAACGTCCACCGTGGAGATGGAGCGATGAAATCAGCTTGTGTGTAGGCGGCGGATGGATGGCTGCATCGCAGTACAGTGAAAGATAGCGACGGCTATGGCGAGGCCTTCATCCATCAGCGGACTGATCATGTCCGAAGACGTGCATGAATTCATTTAGGTGACCCCTCCAGCTGCCAGGTGCTGCTACAACGTGAAAATAAAGTTAAGTATTCTTGGATCGAATTTGTCAACCTGAATCGCGACAAATAAACTAACCGGCGGGAGCGTCGGTCGAAGGATAAAAAATCGTCGAAGAAACATTACAACACGTTTCTGCTGGCTTGTATATTCTTCTTTTAAAATAACTATCTTAACAACCTTTAACGTTGCACGTGTTGTATATGCACGGAAATATGGGTGGGCGTGTGACATGCCTGCTCAGTGCTTGAAAGCACTCTGCCAGGAAGCATGGAGAGGGCTAACAGCACATCCTATAGTGCCACGACAACAACTGACATTGGCTACTTCATATATAGCGCGGTCATTTTTATCAAAATAAGACCCTGGGGGCAGCACTGTACTAAGATAAATAAAGTA